AATATAAATCACATCTAGATGTGATTATAAGTACTTCGGGACCTTCGACCGGAACCCAAGGCTTAGATATCTAAGCATTGAGTTAAAAATTCCGGGTTGAAGTTCCCGGGTTACCCACTGGTCCCGTGAACGCCAGGAACGCGCTGTCACATGTGTGGTACTACTGTCGTGTGATCGCAAAGTACTGGCATTCTTGGGAGAGGTCGTGCATGTATATATCGTGCATGTCTTGTTATGAAAATGCAGTGTTAGACCGAAATTACCAAAACACACTACTCACTATAACGCAAGAAACTCGAGACCGCGACAGAACGCTTCAAAGATCAAAAGCATGCATGTCAGTATGAGCGACGTGATCTCAAACCTGGACCCTCGAAACCCTTTCGTCCCTTTTTGCCATACACTGCCACGGAAGATTTCAGGAGTACACTGTTAATCCAGGAAGCGCGCGGCGGAGTACGGAATAGACGTAATTCCAATCTCCGCGGCCATTTTGAAAAGCGGTCCCGGCGCTGCGCGTGATCACGTGATCTTGCACGAAAACGAGACGCCTACTGATGCTTCAGCTAGCCTACACACTGCATTCCAGTGGGGCATCGAGCGGTGCTGCATCTTCTTCTGTAAATTACGCTCTTTTACGGTGAAAAGTCGAAATATTCATACATGTTACGAATAGATAAGGTTGTTGTGAGCATTTGGGTTTAATTTCAGCCGGTAGAAATGACAAATTCCCGCTCATTTTCCGAATTTCTTGACCGAACTCATTGTTTACTACATGTACGTTATACGCTAGCTACGGTCGAGCGCTCGCATAGAAAAAATACGTAATATACTGACTTCGTTCGTGCAAAACCTGTATAGAGACGTGAAAATAACAGGTAGACATCCTTGTGGTTAAACATTTAGCGAAGTTTTGACGGTTGTTCCGGAAATTTCACGATCGCAAGTCGACATTGGCCAGGCAAGTTAGATATCGTCGTACGTGAATCGTCAAGTGGGGGAGGGGGGCGCTCGTGCGTAACTTCTGTTCTTTCGAAGATTATCCTCTACTTTCTCCGGTAATATTTCAGTTTAACTGGATTAACTTCCACAGAAACGTAAAAATGTTGAACTGAGTTTCTAGCGGGACTAACTTTACCGCAAAAGTGACGGCTGCGAGTCGAAAATTTCATCATTTTTAATACTACGTCACGGTGGTGTGCATGCCTTTCTAGTATTTTCGTGTAACTTACTGTGCAAATACTGTGCCTTCATTTCGGGTGGATTTGTGGTATCGGATTATCTTATATTTTCTTTAGGGGTTTAGAAATGGTTTATTATTGTTCTATAGTATGTGTTAACGTTTTTTTTTTTTTTTGCAGACAAACACATTGACGACTGCCAAGAACGGATCCAAGAAGATATTCAGTGCAGGGTGCTACTGCAAAGCATATGGGTGCAACAGCTCAATGTACAAATGTGTGCGTGGGAAAACAAGTCCTGAAGAAAATATGATTTTTCGGTATTCCCAAAAGAGTATTGGGAGACAGAAGTAAAGTCAATCATTTGGCTGCATGCTTTAATCAAAAGACTGAAGACAGACATGTACTATCCATACAAGGTGCTATCATATAACTTACAGTGGTCTTACTGGGTTTACTAGCATGTTCAATAAAAATTGCCAGCTTATAAGTAATAGTATACTTATTTAAAAAGTGTGATGTCAGGATATCACAGAACATCATCATTCAATAATTACTTTTACCATTTATACAATAAATTGAAAAGCCAACAAAGAGATGAGAGCTACTGTACAATAAAATACATGTTGTTCAAGACTTTAATTAAGTTTGCCTTTACATTTCATTGTTCACTAATAATCATAAAAGTGTACATGACAGATTGTTAGCTATTGCCTGAGATTGACAACATCACCGACACCCACCAGCGAGGAAGTCATCTGCCATAAGTATCATCCCCCAACCACTTAATGAGAAAGTTTTTTAAAGTTTGTGATCCCAGACTAGGAAAACTGTTACAACAGGCACTGAGCTGGATACATAAAGCCATAACAGCTAATGCAACCTTAGTCAAGCCCAATCATAGAGAATTTTATCAGTCTCATCCTCACTTAACACAACTTGCAACTGAGGAGAAACAGGAGAAAGGTAAGAGTCCAGCTGTCCTTCTTCAGTTTTTTAAGGTTCCATGTACCTGTCTGGTACAATTTCTTTCCACACTTGATTCTTCTTGTCAGAAGTTCTGGCAGGATACTAGTAGTTGTCTTGAAAAAGTGGTCCAACTCATGAACTTCGGCTTCTCTTTGATCTGCCTGCATGTCTCTGTGAGAGATCTAGTAGTAAAAAAAAAAAATAATCCATAGTCTATGCCGGCATAGAGAAAACATGCACCCCATCATTTGTAGAACAACATGAGCTACCAAAATATTAGTGTTTTATTCACGCATATCTCAACCCGAAATGTCCACGTATCTGTGTTTAATCCCCCTAAATGTACATTATTTGCCGCGAAGTTAAACGAAAAATACTAGAAAGGCATGCACACCACCGTGACGTAGTATTAAAAATGATGAAATTTTCGACTCGCAGCCGTCACTTTTGCGGTAAAGTTCGTCCCGCTAGAAACTCAGTTCAACATTTTTACGTTTCTGTGGAAGTTAATCCAGTTAAACTGAAATATTACCGGAGAAAGTAGAGGATAATCTTCGAAAGAACAGAAGTTACGCACGAGCGCCCCCCTCCCCCACTTGACGATTCACGTACGACGATATCT